TTCACAGGTTGTCTTGGCCTAAACAAATTGAGTTGCTGCCATGCGATCACTTGATTACATATTTGTATCCGAAAGCAGTCGAATGGGTTTGTTTTCTTTCTTTCTTTCTTTCTTTCTTTCTTTCTTTCTTTCTTTCTTTCTTTCTTTCTTTCTTTCTTTCTTTCTTTTCCACTTTTTTTCTTTCCTGAATGTGATTCAGAGGCTTTCTTAATCAGAAGCTCTCAGCTCTGAAATACTGAAATACTTTCATGTGGTTTGGAGGGGGGAACAAAAAGAGAAGTTGCTGCTGTGTTTTCCCACTGTGGTTTAACTCCTGATATTTGTGAAGTAATTACTCTGTGTGACTTACAAATTCTTCCCATGAACTCTGCGGCAGTGTTGTGGTCAGTCTGAAGTCTTGCTTCTTTGTTGTTTGCCCCCTGCACACACAGAGACTTTAAAAGCCATCTAAGATTATTTGTCATGCAACTCTTATTAGCGATGGTGTTTCTCGTCATGCGTGCACAATGTTCCGAGGGCATCCTTTCAGATGTTTTTTGGTAGTTTGGACAGAAAAGAAAAACAGCATTTGTGTAGTTGTAGTTTGTTTTTTTTTTAATTAATGCAGTTAGAAGAAAACGAAACCTGGTCTATTCTTCGACAAAGTTTGGCCTTGCTGCTCCTTCCGTCAACTTTGAAGCCTGTCAAGGAGTTTGACGCCACATGATATTATTGGCAGGACTTGCTGAGGTCACTGGTCCTCTCCCTCTGACAGATGGAGGGATGCTGAGAGGAAGCGTGGCACACCCTCCGAGTGCCCTCGCTGATAAGTGACCTCATTACGGCTCCGCTGGGCATGTTTTTCTTATTCACAGAACAGAATGATGACGGCTGGCTCCTCGGGGGACCTCGGCTTTTGAGCTGTGCCAAGTTTTCTGACTTTCTGAGAGTTTTTCTCTTCTTGGCTGATGGCTCACAATTAGTTTCAAAGACAATCAGTACCAGGCTGAAATACTCACATTGCACAGAAACACATCGCGTTATCTGATGTCTCTATACCAGCAGCTTGTGAGAACATTTAAAGACCAGGTGTTTTTAACATGTTATTATGTAAGCTTATTTTACTCATGCTAATACAATACAAGCTAACGCCCCTTCTGAAACCTCTAAGCGCTAATGTTAGCCATAATATATTTCATCCATTCCCAGAAGCTCTTATTCTTGGCAGAATCTTGGGGTTAAGTTCTGCTGCTGTAAGCAGTTTTCTGAATACGTGTCTCTTTCCTCTCTCCTCGTTTCTCTCTTTGTTCTCCTTGTACCTGCAGACTGTAAACATCAGGAGGAAGGCCAAATAACATTTGCTATGTCAGGACCCTCAGCCCAAAACACTATATATAAATATATAGACTACTTAGAGTTAGTAATGTTAGGATTGTACAGACACTACTGCTTGTTCCTGAAGTTTTTGAGACAGCTCTCTTTGTCTGTTGAAGTCACGTCACGTGTGGATGTCTGGCAATCATTATGTTTTTTGATAGTGTCTTTTATTGCTTGTGATGTGGTGCTGATGATGATCGAACTATTGATCTGAGACATTTGTCTCAGATTCTGACATGTCCCAGCCTCAAAAGCCAGGGATGAGACCGATCAGATCTTTGAATGCTTTGAAAAGGAATCAGTTGACACGATTCAGGCATTTTACAGGAATGCCTCCTTGACACCTCGTGGGTGAGGTGTTCCATGCATGTCTTAATGGGAGGAGGCCCTAGGGTAGACCCAGGATAAGCAGGGAAGATTATATCTCTCGGGTGTCCTGGGAGAACCTTGGTGTAAGCGGGAGGAGGTGGCTGGGAGAGAAAGTTCTGGGCTTCTTTTCTTAGGCTGCTGCCCCGTGACCCTTGCCCCGGATAAGCTGGAGAAAATGGACGGATGGATTCTGACATCACAACAACCTCTGGGGAACTTTATTTCGGTCCTCAGAGCATTCCTAACTATTATAACGACCTTTTGCCTGTTTAAACAGTCAAGTTCTCTCTTTTAAAAAAACTGTATTTCCTGACAGTGAAAGCTTTTCATTTATTTATAGTATTGATTTTTATACTGTTCCCCCCCACACACACACACACACACACACACACATTATAATGTAAAAGAGTGATTGCCATAATACATGGTGCATATAATGACATTACTCATATAATCATTCTGTTGAAATTTGCACTTCTGTGATGTCTTTTGGTAACTGTTTCCTCTCTAAAGCATTGTTGTTGTTGTGGTCGTGTATTAATGGAAGAGAGAAAAATGGCCAAGATTTC